AAAAAAAAAAAAAAAAAAAAAAAAAAAATTTTTTTTTCTGGTAAAAACTTTATGTCACCTGATTGTGTTTTATTGGTTTTGTTACATTCTGTTAAGTTGTTTGGGTTGTTTTTTGCACTTACAATTAATTGATAATGCTTGGTAAAATTGTTTCCACTGTTAAAATTATCGTATAAACCGTGCAGAACGCTTAATTTGTCGATAAAAGTGGTGACATTCTTTAAAAATTAGTCTAGACTTGATTCTGTTGGCTTTCACTATGTCAGAACTAATAGCCGATATATTAGTATTTGTTAAAAAAAATTTTTTTCTTGCTGCTGACTTGTTCCCTTTTTTCTGTTTTTTTTTTTCTAACTGCTGTTTTCTTTTTTCCTTTTTCTTCTAGCTCTTAGTTTGTTTCAAAAAGTGGAGGACTAATTGTGAATGGCTGTTTTTGCCAATTTATCAACTTCGGAAGGGGAGAAGATGACGTATTTTTTTCAGATTTTTCAATTGTCATTATTTCTTTGCATTAAAAGCTGTTTATCTCAGGTAGGTGTTAAAGTAAATGTGTATGAATAGTGAAAACAGTAATGTCACTATTGAAAGCAGCAAGAAAAACTTCAAAAAATTCCTTTTTTTCAAAGTCTAAATTCACAGGTAATCAATTAGCACAAATTCTAATTGTTATAGGTTGATGAGAAATGTTAGTGAATTGATTGTAGAGGGTTTATTAAAATTACTGATTCTACTGTTACTCCAATTGAATGAGTTGAATACTTCAAGACGGCACTTTCATTTGCGGATGGATAAGTACTATTGCAAAAGAACTGTTGTTGTGTGATGACTGTAAATGCAGAAAACTGCTCTATAATCGATGTTAATGGATTTATTTAGGGTGCATTCAGTTGTTGTTTATGTATCAGCTGTGTTTAGTTTAATTGATAACCATAGATTTGTATAATTGTTATTGTTGTATTTGCGGCACTTCAGTTTGATGTTTTTTTTTTGTTAACTGTATTGTTGTTAGAAATTCCTTAGTGTTTTTTGTTTTCTTTTTTTTTTTTACCTTTCAAAACTTATCACTGTTTAATTGTTTTTTGACGTATAAATAATGACACTGATTTCAGACAATACAGTAAATGTTGTCAATACAAATAAATGGATAATAAAATCAGTGTTTCGTATGTTCGTTTTTAAAGTGTTTATTTTGATTAGTGTTAGAAAAAAAAAAAAACTGATTTTATAAATTGCAGAGTTATGTCTGTTGACATAAATTTTTCACAGCCTTCAGCACTTCGGCAATTCGAGCTGATCGTTGAAAAGAAGTCAATATTTGTAAATGCACATTTTTTAGCCGAAATTTCACCATATTTTGATCTGTTGTGTTTTGGAAACTTTCGGTATGTAAATATTTTTATTTATGCTTATTTATTTTCACACTTATCATTCAAACAAGTTTTTCAGCTTATTTCTGTTTACTCTTTAACAAAAATGTGCTACTTATTTTTGGACTTGTTTTTTTCTTGCAGTTATCGTTTTGATTTTTTGATTTTACAAAGTGAATTTGAAACATTTTATCTTTTGTATTCAACTTAATTAGTATACAAAATTTCGGAATGGAATGAATTTTTTTTTTCGCTATATATCAACTTAAAAACGGTCAAAATTAAGGCTGCCAAAAAAAAATGTGGCTAATTTTTTTGTCGTTGTTAACCGTTTCTTTGAAACGCAATGAGCACTCTTTGGAATACGTTAATTGTCTCTAAAGGGGTGTAGAATTTTAGATTTCTTTCTGTTATTTTTCATTTGTTTCTTTTTTTTTGTTTTATTTTGAAATATTTTTGCGATTATAGAAAATAATGGGTACTGTTCAGCGAGTATTCAATGCGTGGGAGAAAAAACAAAAAAAAAAAAGTTAAAGGGGAAGAAAAATCAGAAAAGATAAAATTACTTCCAACTAAATTGTTATTTCTACTTTTCTTTTTCTTTTTTGCTTCTGATTTATTGTATTTTCAAAATGATTTTTAAAAAATTTTCAACGAATGTGCAGTTATGTTCAAAACTTGTTGAAATATAACGTTTTTGTATTTTTTAGTGAAGCTTCTGAAGGTCGAGCTGAATTAGAAGATGAGCTTTATGACGACGTTGTTGATTTCCTGCAGTTTATTTGTCCGGACAGAAACTATATGTCTGACAAAAAAATTACAGGTTTTTATTTGTTTTTACGAAAAAAACATCATTTTTTTCACATTTTTTTTTATAAATTATTGTAGGCAAGAGCAGTTTTGAAAACCGTAACTATCAGCGGCTAAAAAGAGGTTTATGTGGTTGAATCATTTTCCTTTTGAAACAGAAAAAAGCAAATTTTAGTGATGATATAAATTATTTGATCGTATATTGAAATAAAATCATAAAGGAAAATTGATTATTTAGGGTCTGAAAATATCAAAGTATAAAGTTACCATTTTTGCAGATAGTAATTTTGCCATTCTTGCACATTTTTCACACGTAATGCAATTTCCGCAACTACGACGACGACTGGAAACATTTTTGGAAAATGATTTCACCTCAGATACATTACGTGTAAAAGATGAAAATATGATTGATATGGTTATTGAGGCAAAAGAAACCGGATTTCCGGACAAATTGGTTGACAACGTTTATACAAAATTGGGTCAACTTGGCATTGAACGTGTTAAAGAGGTATAATTTAATGAACAGATATCTGTAAAGGTAATTAAGCAATTCTTCTTTTGTTTTTCTTTTTTTTTTGGTTACAAACTTTTTTATTAAGAAATTAAGCATATTTTTTGTTTTTTTTCTCCAGTTTATTTTGATGAACATTTAATAGTTGCTGTTGATACAGGTGCAACTGCCGCAACTGCAGATTTAGTAACGGGTGGCAACAGCTGGTAAAATTGCAAAAAAATATATCTAATTTTTCAGCTTACCAAAGGCTTACCGGATCAGTATGCAGAGGCAATTTTAAAGGAAGTGCAACGATTTGTAAGTGTATTAGACTTTTCTTTTCAATTTAATTTTTTGCAGTTACGTTAGTATCCAACAACTAAAGCTTTGAGATTTTATTGTTAACAAAAATTTGCGCAATTCTATATCTGTTATTTGTTTTGAGCTCTTTTTTTATTAAATTTATTATACCAAAGAACTTCAAACAGAAAATAAGTTTTACACAAAATATATACATTAAATTACAGACTAAACAGTATTAAATATCAGTCTATTTGCTTACAGTAAATTTTTTTGGTGATACTGCAGCACAGTTTTTGCTCTAATTCTTTCTTTCTTGTTTGTCATTGTTCAGTTCATTATTGTTAAAGTTATTACTGTTAATAGTACCAAAAAATTTTAAGACAGTATTTCTAATGCTGAAGTAATTGAACATTAGCAGTGTGACTGACTATTTAATTATTGGCATGGGGGAAATGGAATTGAATGCGGAAAGAAAACTGTTTCAAATCAGCTGTTCGTTTACAGGTAAAAATATATCCAACAGATCGACAGTATCGATCAGCCTACGACTATAATCAATTTGATCAACGGGTATTTTTCTAACAGCACCCAGTATATAGCATAAGTATTTTTGTACAAACCTGTAAGTAGCGGTCAGCTGAAACTTTTTATTGAAACAACTTGTAATTATGTGTAAAGTTTTTTCATTTTTTTTGCATTGAAACTTAGCGTTTAATTATTAAATGAAGCCATAAATTTGCTTAATATCTTATCAAAATTTGTAGCGGGTTTAAAACTTTATTTGTAGTACGCATAAAACTACTGTATAAGTTGCTTTTATCTTGTTCTTTTCTTTTTCATTACTGATATCATCCTTATGTGTTATAATTGGTTATATATAATACAGTGTAAGTATTTGTACATTTTTTTTCATTTTCTTTCTCTTTTTTTTTTTTAATTTCTAATCTGTAATTTGATTGTCAAAGTTTTTCAACTGTTTTCCTGCCGATGATTTTTATCACTCGAAAAAACTGACCACAGTGTTTTTGGTTTATTTTTTTTCTGTTTTTGTTATGTTATATTAGAAACAAGAGAAGAATGAATATGAACGTTTAGGAATTGCTATTACCTTCTTTTGGAGCTTTCTTCTTAGTTTATGTGAGCGGGGTCTGCTTAATTGTTGTGCAAAATAGAGGATTTAAATTGCTTTTAGCCTGTCGACCTTAAACTACAACAACAGCGATAGCAAAAAGAAAATTTCGATTAATGATAGGGTAAAAAAATTTAAAATTATAGATTAAAAAAAAGCGAGGAAAAAAAGAACAACTGACTTTTTTTCTCAATCAAAGGACAGAAGATTTTTGATGATTCTTGAAAAAAAACTTTTTTTTTGGATCCTGTTGTAAATCATATTTGAGGCAAATGGTCGTTGCTCTTTCCTCTTCAGCCTATTTTTTAGGACCTTAAAAGAACTTTTTATCTTTTTTGGTTGATTTTTGATCAGCAATATCAACTGTTTGTGGTTGTATTTCACTGATATCTGATTTATTTTTTTTATTTAATGGTCGATTGGAAAGCATTGAAAAAAATGACCAGAAACAATAGCAGTAATGGCAAGGAAAACAGATTTATAAGTTGTCGTAGTTGTATTGTTTTGTTTTTATTATCTTTCCATTAGATACTTCTTTGAGCTTTCTGTTTCCTTCTTTATCTTTGCTAATATCTGCCACAGCTTTTCTATTTCCTCTTATATTTACTACAATTTTTGTTGAAAAATTATTTTTTATGTGTAAAAACAGATTTTGTGTAATCTGCTTCCTTCTTCTACGTAACCACGTAAGCTGTACATTGGTTTTTTTTTTCTTGTAAATATTTTGCTCTTTGATTTCTGTATAACATTATTATATTTGTTTTACAGTTAGTTACTTTTTGTAAATAGTACTTTTACTGGTATTGTTGTTGATTGAAACAGAACAGATATATATGTGTGCATCTGTTGTGTGTGTATGCGTTTTTGAATTAAACCAGTAATGAATATTGTTGGATAGTTGATTTTCTCTGTGCAAAATTTTGCATCATCTTTTTGTCGACAATTTATTTTTATTCCTATAATTTTCCCATGTTTTCTGCTTCAACCTAATTGACAGTCTGAAATTGCTGTTGGAGATTGAAATAAGTTTGCGAGGTCATATTGAAAAGTTTGAAAGGTGGGAAAAGAAGCAGTGAAGAGGTGAGAACAATGCAGAAGAAGATGGGGCTGTTTTTTTTTGTTGTTTTCTTGTTACTACTACCAATATTTTTGGCTTTAATTTTTAATTTATTCTTTTTTCTTTTCTGGAAAAAATACAATATGATTTATTATCTTCAATCATTTCTACCGTTTAATTTGATCACACTATAACAGGGTGCAGTTGAAAATGAAATTTATATACACATATATATCTGAAAGGTTTTTGACAACGATTTCTTCTTTTTTTCTTTTTCTTTTCATTTGATTTTAATGTTCAATTTGTTTAATGTGTTGTTAGAGGAAGGAGAAACGGACAAATAAACAAACAAGCAACTAAAAGTAAAATAACAAGACGAAAAAAAAGAAGGTTTGAAAGAAGAGAAAGTTTTGGCAAATGTCAGGTATACAGGAGATGACGGATGGACGTAATTTTTAGCAATCATTGTTTTGGAACCAAAAACAGATTTTGTGCTGGTACCCAACCTTTGTTGCCATAAACATTTTTACATTTCCACCATCCAGGCTTCTTCTTTAGCACCTGCAAAAAATTTCCACTAAAAAATGAAATAGCT